AAATACATATTTACCTGTTTTCCCTACGAAAGGTTTGCACAATTGATGACACTGTGGACCGGTTTACATTAGGCTGTACTCTTCGACCAGCCTCTTCCACTGTAAAACCACGATTTATGACATGATCCACAAGTGTGGCTCTGATTTCATCAGAGACTCTGACTCTTCTATTTCCACCTCTTCCTCTAACACCACCACCATTCTTACACGTCTTCCAATTGCTCTTCCATGAGCATGTTGCTGCAGTTCAGGGTTGTGGAAGTCCTCCATTCTCAAAAAATGTTAGTGATTGTGCTGTGGGCAATCTACATATATATGCTCCCAAACTTGATTGGTTGAATGGTTGATTCAAATTGTATTGTAATTTGCCAATTTAGCAGACATTACAAACAATGTCAATGTCAGATATTTATGGAATATACATGCGTGTATACCAATTTTTCATAATTTAATGGATCGTTTTGAATGTGATGGCTTACACGATGAAAAATGTTTGAGAAGTTGTGAAGAGTTTGACAGTTAAATGAGAATCGACTCATCAGTTTTGATCAACAAGCCATATGCAATTAGTTGTTGTGCAAACTGCAGACAATTGTACTTACTGTTTGCACACATGTGCCAAAGCATTTGCAATTTGCTCAAATCAATAAGAAATTCCAATCTGATGTGAACAAGAAGCTAATTGTTCAGAGATCTGAACTTATTGTTTCGGGGAGGGAAAAATTCATTCGAGAATTGAGCCAAAGCAATTGAGAAAAACTGTAAAAATGAATAGAATATGAGAATATTTAAGCTTGCATTGAAACCCTGTTATCTCCCGGTTTCACAGACAAGGCTTAAGCCTAGTCCCAGACTAAAATGCATGTCTGTTCTGTTTTAACTGTAAGAAACTTGGGTTACACTTTATTTCGATAGTCCACTTTAGACATTCTACTAACTATAAGTAACTTTGTAACTACATGTCAACTACATGTAAACTAATTCTCATTAATTTGCAACTACATGTCTACTAACTCTCAGAGTAGACCGTTAGGGTAGGTTTAGGGTTAGTAGAATAAGTTGACAAAGAAAGTGTTAGAAGATATTAAGCAGACAGTCTACTAATACTCTACTAACTGCTAGTTGACATGTAGTTGCAAAGTTACTTACTGTTAATAGAATGTCTAAAGTAGACTCGAAATAAAGTGTTACCGAAACTTGCACTGACATATCTTAAAATATGTTAGTAGTTCTATTGATTTGTCTCAAGGTGCACACCAGAAATTTTTTTTTGAACTTTGAAAAAAAAAAAAATTCATTTCTTAATTGAACTTTGGCCTAATCCTGGTTTAACCTAAGCCCTGTCTGTGAAACCAGGCCTATATCGAAGTTATTGATCATAAACTTGATTGCCTGAAGTTTGTTGTAAGATGTTTTGACATTGAAGTTGTTTGCTCTCCAGCTCCATCGGTCTCAGCGGAAACTGTGTGCAGTTTTTAAAAGTCATTTTACAGATGCGCAATTGGACTGGACTCTGGGTTAGACTGGGCCATGACAGGACACTAAACATCTGAAACCTTAAAAGTGCTGTCTGTTTGGGTCACTCTCCTGGAAGCTGAGTGAGTTTTCCAGTCCCTGCTGTTGAAGCATCCTCGGAAGCATGATGCTGCCATTGGCATGATGCACCAAAAACACAAAATGCCAAAAGTTCAGTTCTGCTGTGCCTTTGATAGGAGTTTAAAAGGTGGATTCACAGTTTCGACACTTTTGTTTATTTATGATACTCGAATTACTTCATAAAAGTGTCTGGTGTTATGTTCTGGAATTCTGTCATGAATTGGCTTAGAATGTTCTATTAGATCATAGTCAGATGCTCAGAGACCTATGAGAAGATAACTGGTTGCATAGTTGTAGTTGTGTCAGGGTGGATAAATATTTATACATTCAAAAATGCCTTTTCTTTTCTTACTCAGAGGAAAATAATATTGCTACATAGATTGCTCTTTCATAGCTTAAGATGCATCAGTTAATGTAAGTACATTTTGGCTGTAGATACAGCTGAAATACGCACAGATCTAGAACCATTTGTTGGTGGATTTTGATGTGAGGGGACTGTATGAGATGGACTTTTCCACTGGAGGAAGCATTATTATGGTTTATGAACTCATATTTGGCCAGAAGTGACAGTTTAATGTTAAAATACAATAAAGATGGATTTGTTTCTTACAAATCTTACAAATCTTCCTCTAAGACCAGAGAGTGTTGAGACCAAGACAAGACCAAGGCAGGGCGAGACCGAGTCAAGACCAAGAACAAACCAGCACTTTTCAAATTCATCTGAAAGATCCACATTTACTGCCTAAGAAATGTCTGATATTTAATCAATAAATATATTTACAATATTAACACACTTATACGAAGCTACGAGAATACTTTTTGTGTGCAAAAGAAAAAAAAGTTAGGGTAGGTTTAGGGTTAGTAGAATAAGTTGACAAAGAAAGTGTTAGAAGATATTAAGCAGACAGTCTACTAATACTCTACTAACTGCTAGTTGACATGTAGTTGCAAAGTTACTTACTGTTAATAGAATGTCTAAAGTAGACTCGAAATAAAGTGTTACCGAAACTTGCACTGACATATCTTAAAATATGTTAGTAGTTCTATTGATTTGTCTCAAGGTGCACACCAGAAATTTTTTTTTGAACTTTGAAAAAAAAAAAAATTCATTTCTTAATTGAACTTTGGCCTAATCCTGGTTTAACCTAAGCCCTGTCTGTGAAACCAGGCCTATATCGAAGTTATTGATCATAAACTTGATTACCTGAAGTTTGTTGTAAGATGTTTTGACATTGAAGTTGTTTGCTCTCCAGCTCCATCGGTCTCAGCGGAAACTGTGTGCAGTTTTTAAAAGTCATTTTACAGATGCGCAATTGGACTGGACTCTGGGTTAGACTGGGCCATGACAGGACACTAAACATCTGAAACCTTAAAAGTGCTGTCTG